CCTGGACTTGGGACCAGGCAAAGGCGGAGGTTGGCATGTTTGGTGTGACGGGGATTCGAACCTGCGACCCTCAGATTACGAGTCGAGCGCCCTAACCACCTGGCCATGCCGGGCCTACGAGTTCATTTAAGACTGTCGAACTGGTCCAATAAAAAGTAACTTTATGTTTGTAGATGGTCCAATCAGGAAATGATTAATGTGAGTTCCAATTTCACGTTAATTATACGTATTGTTTGTTTGTTTGTAATTAAGCACAAAGCTACACAATGGGCTATCTTTGCTCTGCCCACCACGGGTATCGAAACCCGGATTTTAGCGTTGTAAGTCCGCAGACATGCCGCTGTGCCACTGGGGGTGGGGGCAATTATACGTAAAGATTCCAGTTACTAGTTATTAGTTACTATACAATTAGTTCACTAGTGAGGGAATTACAATAAATCCTAAATATACTCTCTGTTCAGTGAATAAACATTTCTTCACTGGTATTTTGGTTTTACTGATCTCCATAATCCAAAAATGTACAATGAATTGGGAACAATGAGTTTAAACTAACTTTCTAAAAGTGGCAATTTTAATAAATTTGCATCTTTTTGCTTAAACAATTGTATTACCTATTTTTAATTTGTGGAATACTCACATACGAGAGGTTTTATCTATAGAGATTTTATACGAGGAATAAATGCTTGCGATAGAGAACTAAATTCGCAAATATCGTCAACTTATTTTGAAAATGGCATATAATAAAGTCGAGTTGAAAGATAACGAATATTGCTTTATCTATTTTTCTCGCTAACAAGCAATACCTTCATAAGACACTTTCTAGAAACGTCACTTTTATTTTTAAAACAGGCAGTTATCGAAATTACGCAAACAGTAATAATTTGATTTTTTTCCACCATACTCATATGCAGATTTTCATAACGACGCCAGAAATAGCGAAAAAAATTAAGAGTATTTAATTTTCAGTGTTTCAGTTAAACACATACCTGAAAACAAATAAATTGTGATAGTAGTGACCTGGTGATTGGCTAGTGGGGACACAACTGTTGTAGAGGGAGACACATGTACGAACAATTGATATTTCTCATTCAAATAGCAAATACAGAAGAAATAGATATGTATCCACGAGCTCCAATATTTTATTTTTTATGTGGTTTAACAAATGTATTTATATATTCATTTCCAAATGGATACACATAGCTTCGAACTTCTGAATAATGGGTTTTACTTTGTACAAAGATGCAAACTGATAACAGAAAATAACATTTGGTACTTATTTTTCTCTTTACGCACACGAAAGAATGTTCTCGTACACATAATAAGTTTATTGTCTTTCTGAAAGCAATTTTTGAGATATTATAATAACTAAGGACCGTTTACAGACTGGGATATATAGTACTATTTATTCTGTTGATTCAACCTTCATGAATTTGTTTTATTAATTAGGACTAGAAGCTTGTTGATCAAAGAAGATACACGAATATTCAGATAACGCTGATGTGAAATAGAAAAAGAAAATATAGATAAATTTTAAGTCATGTTTAAGATGTAACTGTGTCTTTTGAAAATATTTGTAGACACCCTATAATATTGTATATAATCAGCATTCTGAAACAAGACGAAAAAAGGGTTGAATTTTAATTTACCTCTACGTGTCGAGTAACTATCGAAACCTAATTTTTAGCCAACACGGCTGTCTGTAGAAAAAAATAATTATTTTGTGGCAGTTTATTAAGTATAACTTAAACTTTTAAAGTCAGACGTAGGTTAACCAATAAAAATTAGTTTTTACAGCATAAAAATTCGGTTATTATTGGTTTAATATTACACTTGAACTTAGCTGCGCTTAACTTGTTCCTACAGTTTTGACTCATAAGTAAAAATCTACTAATTTTGAGAGTTATCAACTCATTGTTGAAACTATCCAAATGAGTTTTTTACGTGTTGACTTAAACGACATCTTTATGTATACAGTGTGATAAAGGGCTAAATAAAAAAAGACAACAACAAACCTATGGTTCCTAATTATAAACTGTTCTCTAGATTGAAGATAACAGCATCTACGTTTAATCAAATAGCGGGACTGAATGCCATTCTTATAACACACGCACAGCTAAAAGTGTTTGGTAGCCCCACGTTTCGAACCCAAGACCATCAGATCTTCAGTCTAATAAGCGAACTACAAGGCGACGCTCGGGACGAGTCCAAATGAGAAAGAACTAGGTTTTGAATTCATAATTATAAATTAAATTTAAATGTATCTCTAAACTAACTCTTCCGCAATGCGTTGACCCATTAAAAGATTAGATCTGATTGGAGACGCTTACTAAATATGACATATTAGTAGTTCAGAAAGTAATGCAGGTTAAATAACTTACACTTGAACAAGTCTTGTGAAACGGCGTGTCTCACCTGAGGCATGATTCTTCTTGCTCTTCCTGGGTCATCCCAACCTCCTCTCACTTTCATAAGTGTTTAATAATCTAGTTCATTTTCGAGGGTTATCTAGGATTGTAGGCTAGACTCTCTACTATATAAACCAATGAAACTTTGAGTCTAAACAAGCAAATTGCTTCTCAAGAAACTTCTCTTTTTCTTGGTACAGTTGCGTAAAGGTTCGCCATGAAAGGAAAGGTAAGAATATATATTTATGTCACTCTTAAATAGATGTTTAAGTTGAATGTTATGCAGACTTTCTTTAAATAAAACATCGTACATGAGAGACTTCAGATAGGTTGGCCTTGTGGTAAATCATGAAATCTATGTTTCACGTCATCTAATTTCTTTGCTTTACAAAGAGCTGAGTGGTTAGCGTGTCTGGATTGTGGATTCGACGTTTTTTTTTTGTTTGTTTGTTTGTTTGTTGGTGTCCCACTGCAATGGTTAAACCTTACAATTCGTTCAGACAAGAGCAGTCCAAGATTTGTTGGCGGACGCTGATGACTAACTGCCTTCCCTTTAGTCTATCAGCTAAATATTAGGGACATGTATGCGCAGATAACCTTTGTTTAGGCTTGCGCGAAAGTTCTGAAACAATTGATACATAATATCATAATCTAATCACACTTTGTCCTAATTCCAGCTCTCCTTCTTGTCTTTTAAACTAAACTTAAGCCTAAGTTGTTGGCTCACATATCACATAGACTACAGAATATTTTGTTGTATTATATTTTGATTTTAACCGTCCTGATCAGCATACTTTTAAGCTCAGAAGCTTGTTTGTTTGAAGTTAAGCACAAAGCTACACAATGGGCTATCTATGCTCTGCCCACCACAGGTATCGAAACCCGGTTTCTAGCGTTGTAAGTCCGCAGACATACCACTATGCCGCTGGGAGGCGCTCAGAAGCTATTCATTACTATTCCTGTTCATAGTAATAGTTGATAAGAATCGTCTCTTGACGAAGCCCTGTTAGTTAAATAGAATGAATTGCTCACATCAAAGGTAGGAAACATGTTAATTTCTCAAATTTACGTAATAAAACAAGTTATAGATTTATGGTGATGCCGAACGATAAAAACCAAAGCTTTGACCAATAAGATCTTATTACTTTTGATCATATCTTGCATTTACTTAGTAATGGTCTCAAAACTAAAAACTAGTATTATTATTGTTTCGAGATTCTAATGTTTGCAGTCAGAATGCATTTATGTTCTTCTTTAAAAAATCCAAAGATATTCAATTGAACTATGGAAAGAATTTAGTAACACAGATAAAAGTATTATAAGCAAAAAAAAAAGTTTGTTCAAAATATATTTAGATAAATTTAAAGTTTAACTACTAAGAACTTAGCGAATTTTTTGAAAACGGAATACTATTAACATTTATAATTATCGTATATAATTAAGGACCCGACACTCAGCCAGTGAAATCTGCTGGTATTCGCAATACATTCTAGTCTATCGGAAATAATTATATGTTTATATGTGTGTTGAATTTCTCTACGATTTTGAAAGTTGTTTTTTCATTTATCAATCTTTTTTCTAGGTATTTCTCCTGTTGGCTCTGTCTGCAATGATCCAGGTGAATTCCGCTGGATACGGATCTCCATATGTAATCGAAGTGCCACATTATCAACCGCCACCGCCGCCCCCTCCTCCTCCTCCACCACCACCACCACCACCTGAAGTAAGTGTACAAAATATAGTAATACTAATACGCAAAACATTGTACTAGTTATTTTAGTTCTCGAAAATAACTTACAGTTATTACTTCAAGCGACATTTTTTATCGTGTTTTATTGCTTCACTGTAATACACTGTAGAGATGCTGATATGGCTTTTATCCATTAGCGTATATAATAAAGTTTGATATCATGTCTTCATAAACGTGTACTTGTTCGAATAATACCGTATCCCGCCAACTTAAAGAGGCGGTTTGAATGCGGAATAACTTCATGTGTTTTTGACCTGTTGGTTTATTTCTAATTTAATTATGCTTGAAGATTTTCTTTTCACACATTTGTGCTTTTCAATTACTTTAGGAGAAACCTCAACCATATGAATATTCATTTGAGATAAAGGATGAAGATGGTAACACTATTACCAGGAAAGAATCAGGAGATGGTAGTGGATCCGTACAGGGTTCTTACGGTTATGTCGATGTTAACGGGATATTCCGCCAAGTCGAGTATGTCGCCGACGACTCTGGATTCAAACCCCAACTGAAGTCTAATGAGCCTGGCTTGGGTGATGCAGCTCCAGCTGATGTCCAGGTCGTCATCGAGGCTGCACCTGCCCCTCCACCTCCACCTCCACCTCCACCACCCCCGGCTCATAAGCAACTCGTGAAATACATTCGTATCCCTGTACCATACGGCTATGCTTAACAAAATGAATAGCAAAAAACAAAGCAAAAACGAACCGACTTTTATTTAAAGATGGCTTTGAATAATCTACATCTTTGCTTATACATAACTTCAAACTGAAATTTCTTTGAATGAAATGCGCTCATTATTATATTATTTATTAAACGATATACCTACATACGTATACAAGCAGTTACGTAAGTAGCTTAGCATGAACTTCTAACTGTTTTCCTCAATATAAAAATCTTTAACTATTACTTGCTTAATTATCTTCAAAAATAAATTACGCGCAATATCTAACAAGAAACGTTAAATGTTCAATATTTCCTTTCCTGTGTTTTTCGTGAAAAACGGTGTTGTATTTTGTAACTTGTCTACATGTACTGATAATAAATGTTTTGCTGCACGATATATTATTTGTCTTATTATTTTTGCTACATCTACACATAGGGCTATCTGCTAATATTCGTCCTTAATTTTTTCAACTGATAGATCAGAGGGAAGTCTGATAGTCAATACCACACACCGCCACCTTGTGGACAGCTCTTTTTTTGATCGAGTAGTGAGAGTAGCTCGTCAGTCTTATAGAACATCGACCCCGGCAACAGGGCGCGCACCATGAATCATCAGATTCACAGTATAAATTACAGGCCATGATAAATAGTATATTGTTTTGACTTTGAAAAAATCTTCTATCCGTTCGCACTGCTTAAAAGTAAATTAGGGAACACCACAAAATCATGTTTTACTCACTTGTTGATACACCACAAAATCATGTTTTACTCACTTGTTGATACACCACAAAATCATGTTTTACTCACTTGTTGATACATCACAAAATCATGTTTTACTCACTCGTTGATACACCACAAAATCATGTTTTACTCACTCGTTGATACACCACAAAATCATGTTTTACTCACTCGTTGTTACATTCAACATCGGGGGGAAAAATTTATATTCGGCTGGAAAGGAAGATCAATTTTTTAAGAACATTTCTAAATGTGACATCATCCACAGATTCACCGAATGGTCTGTAGGGTAGGATAATAAAAGTATTTTCTCATTTGTATGATTTTACACTTTACATACACTAAGAACATATTTATCAAAATTTAAAATATTTATCTCTACTGCCTGCTGGCTCTCTTAAAGAAACTAAGTAAATAAACATTTCGCACTATGGACCAATCATAATATTTTGCGATCTGTCTGGGGGAAAACGATAAAAAACGGAAGGAATTTAAGAATTTAAACCGTGAATATAAGTCTTAATACAATTAACATGTGAGAAAGGTTTGTTTGCTCACTTGAATGACACCCTATGGGAAAAAAAACAACAACACAGGCTAGAGACTCCCATAGTTCAGTCATAACCGTCTTTAATTTTAAACTGCGGACTAGACGGAAAGTGCCACCAGTCGCCAGCACTCCTAGCCTGAAGCTATTACGTTTATCCAAATAGCTGGAGTGCTGCCATTTTTATAACGTATCCACAGTTGAAAGTGAAAAAAAGGCGTTTGGTAGGATGATGGTTGAAACTCGAAACCCTCAGATTCCCAGTCCAATATGTTAGCCACTGGGCCACGCTTGGGTTAATTAGGAAAGGAAGGTTAACCTATTGCAAGTGATCAGAAAGTTATTACGTTTTCTTAATTGTCATTTATTTACTTTTGTTTTTATTCTACGTATTTCTAAAAAGTCATGAACACTAAAAGAAATTGTTTTGTTTTTTAGGGTTAAAGCATATAATCGGTTTGATATTTCGTAGTAAATATATAACAAGTATATCATTATCAAGCACGCACGCACACACATATATGAATATATATTTCTTTAAAGACCCAGTTCTCGGAAGAGTAACACATTTTCTAAAAAATAATGAGAGTAACAAATTCACTACAGAAAGATAAAACCTGGAAATCCAAAGGTAAGGTTAAACTAATCTGGTCCTGATGAGGATTGTGTGGCCGAAGTATCGAACACAAAATTCCCTTTCCATTACAACAATTTTAATCAATTATTTGTATTGTAAAAAATTCTTGGTGTGGAAAGGGCTCTTTCTCGTCATTATTGGTACTTGTGGATGGAAAAAAAAAACACCTTTGCTTCTCTGTCCGCCAGATCCCCTGTTTACGGACTTATAACACTAAAACCCGGGGTTCGATTCCCCGCGGTGGATACAGCAGATACCCCAATGTGGCTTTCCTCTAAAACAAATAGACAAATCTGTCTCCCAGTTTTCTCTTTTTTAGTGATGTCTGTTAGCTACGTACTAAAGCTATGATATGCAAAATATATTTATTGACTTCTTTAGTTTTGTTAGGTGAACATTTCATGTTCACCAAGAATGTTCAAACATTTTCTGACGTTTCTATCTTGTGTTTAGTTTTAACAGTGTGGCTAGATTAGTTTCGATCTAGCTACTTATCTATTTTTCTGTGTCATTTCCTTTGATATCACATCGTTTTCTCATATGAAAGATTGCTGTATAAAAGAACACACTGTGTAAAAAAGGACAGTGACATTATCCACTGGCAAAAGTGACGTAGTAGTGCACGCACTCTGGGAGAGATGTTAATTATTTATTCTGTATATAATTGCAATAATCTTCTAATATTATTGATGATTTCTTCAGAACTCGGATTATCTTCAGATCTGGTCAAGTCTGCCTTTTGGGTAAGAACAGCACTGTCAGGTATCCTGTGCTCTTATTAATTGTGGCTTGTTGTTTAATAAAGATTACTATTAATTTTACTTTTACATTGAGTTTGGTCTCTTTCTTCAACTTAGTCAGAGTGAGATAATTTAGATTTCTCGCTGCTTAACATGTTCTAACATTTTAATTATTGCGGTAACTATTTTCACCCGAATAGGAAAACATTATATTTGGAAGTACCACAAATCTTCTTTAGATTCAGTTTTTCACTTTTCACAACAAATTCAAGTTCATTTTGTTGCGCCCCCCAGTGGCACAGCGGTATGTCTGCGGACTTACAACTCTAGAATCCGGGTTTCGATACCCGTGGCGGGCAGAGCACAGATAGCCCATTGTGTAGCTTTGTGCTTAATTACAAACAAACAAACAATCATTTTGTTGCTTATTTTTCACTTTTTTATGTGAATAGTTATTTGTAGAAGGTTACATTTGTACTTATCATAAAGTATGGTTACGAACCTTAAGGTTTTAAGTTTATACCAAATATACACAATAAATGGGTAACAATTCTGCAATTTCACTTTTATCTTCATGCAAACTCTAAAAATTGCATAACCTTATTTTTAACGAAGAAAGGGCATTTTTGAGAAGCTGATGTTTATTAAACATTCTTTTATGAGCTCACAAAAAGCTTAAAAGCAGAAGTTTTTGTGGCTTAGAAACACTGGTTGAAAGGTGATGGATGATTCAATTGAGTTTTGGTAATGGGGATACATGAAGTCAATTGTATCATTACCAGACACTCCACGATGTACAATTGACTTTATGTATCCCCATTACCAGACACTCCACGATAGGATACATAAAGTCAATTGTACATCGTGGAGTGTCTGGTAATGAGGACACACCAAGTCAGTTGTACATCATGGAGTGTCTACTGTGTTGTCGGACTTGGCAGATTCCATCCAACAGTATGCAGTCATATTGGATACTGGTCAGCTTCGTTCAGATGTCTATCATATTCTGAAAATTGAAGCCATCGTTGACAGGAATGATGGTCACGTTAAGCGCTCTTTAGTGACCATTTCCGGAGATAAGATTTCGTGTTCCTCGTGATCTTCCATTTGTATACCAAGAATTGTTGTTTTATGACAAACAATATTGACTTCTTGAGTTTGTAAACATCAAAAATTGTTTGGGAAGTCTGTCTGTATAATATGCACATACACGTGTGCAATAATTATACATTTGAAATTAAGTGTCTTAATATGAACGTTTTCCGTTTTGTTTACCAATATTGGTATATTCAACCTCCTTATGCGACACATAGACTAAACGGCCATATTTGTGAACCAAAAATTCAGCCATAACTGTCCTTATAAGTTTTTGCTTTAAGAAGTACATTTAGTTACTTTATAAGTTAATCATCAGTGCGTATGACATGACAAACATAAAAATAACCTTAACTTTTCACTGTCTGGCGCATCCTGATAAGAGTAACGTTGTCCATCAACTATTAAATCCGGTAATTAACATTATCAAACAACTATTAGCTAAATCCAATGAGTAACGTTGTACATAAACTATTAGCTACATCCGGTGAGTAACGTTGTCAATCAACCATTAGCTAAATCCGGTGAGTAGCGTTGTCCATTAACTACTAGCTAAATCCGTTGAGTAGCGTTGCCTATCACTTGTTAACTAAATTTCGTGAGTAAAGTTGTCTATCAACTATTAGCTAAATATGTTGATTAACGTTGTCCACCAACTATTAGCTAAGTCCAGCCAGCAATTAAATTGTGGTACGCTTAGGGATTCAATCTTTATTTATTCTTTTTAATCGTGATCATAACGAACTTATCTTGTTTTGATATGGTTTTATTACAATCCAGAACCGATGTTTCTCAAAATATAACTTCCACCTTTTATTATGTCCCTCGTTAGCTCAGCAGTAAGTCCGCAGACGTATGACGATAAAAATCAAGTTTCGATACCCGTGGTGGGAAGAGAATAGATAGCCCATTGTGTAGCTTTGTGTTTAAGAAAAAACAACAACAATGCACTTCTCTAACAGACATGAAACCGTTGTTTTTATTAAAGTTATGTACAGAATAGTCTCTCATGTAATTGTATTCTGATTATTGTTGTATTCCTTAGATGTGATAGAGATATCGTTACACTCAGTCTCTCATTTAATTGGATTCTGATTATTGTTGTATTACTTAGATGTGATAGGGATATCGTTACACTCAGTCTCTCATTTAATTGGATTCTGATTATTGTTGTATTACTTAGATGTGATAGGGATATCGTTACACTCAGTCTCTCATTTAATTGGATTCTGATTATTGTTGTATTCCTTAGATGTGATAGGGATATCGTTACACTCAGTCTCTCATTTAATTGGATTCTGATTATTGTTGTATTCCTTAGATGTGATAAGGATATCGTTGCACTCAGTCTCTCATTTAATTGGATTCTGATTATTGTTGTATTCCTTAGATGTGATAGGGATATCGTTACACTCAGTCTCTCATTTAATTGGATTCTGATTATTGTTGTATTACTTAGATGTGATTGGGATATCGTTACACTCAGTCTCTCATTTAATTGGATTCTGATTATTGTTGTATTCCTTAGATGTGATAGGGATATCGTTACACTCAGTCTCTCATTTAATTGGATTCTGATTATTGTTGTGTTCCTTAGATGTGATAGGGATATCGTTACACTCAGTCTCTCATTTAATTGGATTCTGATTATTGTTGTATTCCTTAGATGTGATAGGGATATCGTTACACTCAATCTCTCTATTTCCAACTTATTTCATCAAAACTCTTTAGTCCTAACCGAACTGAGGGAAAAGTCCGAATGATGTCCATGAACAAATTAACTCTTGTGATTTTATTAAGATTTCTTCATTTTTTGGTGTTTCTGTTATTGTTCTTGTTTTTAATTAATTACACAAAGAAGTGATGGAAATATACAAACAAAGAATAATCGAAGGCCTTTGAATATCGTATGATATTTTGACTTGATTATTTCAACCCATAAATAAAAAGTCTACATTGTTCTCTATGTGTTGATTAAGAATATGTTTAAAGAACAATAGTCCATAAAAATACTCAACTGAGTAATTGTTTAGATTAACACTTGGGCCATTCGTGGCACAGTGGTTTCCCTGCTCGGGAACCACTGTAAATCTGGGGGTTCACTGTATGAGTCTCGTTGGAGTAAAAATACGCTCCACGCTTTGAGACCGTTGGTGGGTAATAAGAATAATTGTTAAGTCTCATTATTTGGTCAGAAAAGACCAGTCCAAGAGTTGACAAAGACTGCTATTGACTAGCAACTTCCCTTTTAGTCTATCTATTCAAAATTAGAGACAACTATGCAATGATAGCTATTGTGTAACTTTGCGTGACAATTCTAAGCAATGCACTTCCCTTGTCGGGTTTTAGGTTTCAAAGACCTGGGAGGGTCAGGTGCGTTCGACCTCTTCCTCCAATTCTAAGCAATTAAATAAAGATTAACAAATTTGAAAAAGAAAGATGTTGTAATATAACCAAACAGGATGACTGATTAACAATACATTACTTGATAGGAAAGTTTGAACCGCATTAATCTTTAATTATCAATTAGGTAAATCTGGCTACAGTTAACTAGTTATACTTTACTTAACTGAAAGCTCGATTGTGCAAACTTCAACACACCAATGAACTAAAGTAGTTTTCCTGTATCTGAAGGAGCTTTTATTCTCTAACTATGTTACCTTAAATTCTAACTTACTGTTACAGTATAATGAGCAGATCTGGTTCTGTCCCTTTAATTTATATGTTTACAGACCTCGTTAAAAATCCGCGGGTCATTATTTTTTATTCAGATCGATACAAACGTAATCGGGTCTGTACTACCACAGAGACCAAATTATCCTGCTTTATTACACTTCAGTAGATAAACTTTCATGCAGCCATCTATTGGAAAGTATCCTAGAAAATGGAACGTATCCATAAAATATATTATAAATCATCTAAATTATTAGATGTCCTAGATTTTACGTCTTTGCACTAGAGGAGGTCAACGCTACCATTACTTATGTTGTTCTTGAAAAGTGAGGTCAAACATGGCGACGCCCGTATTCTCAACAATATACAGTTTATCAGGAGTGAGAAAAATTTGTGCACCACGAAAATAAAATAACAGTGAATTAATTTTTTTTCTAAATGTGACGAGAAACGAACAATTTTAATGCTTGAAAGAAACAAATGCAAGAAAAAGTAAAATAACATTTTGCAAATATGTGATTTTCCTCATTTCAGTAAATTCATTAGGAAAAAAAACATATTAATAAATTGTTTGTTTGTAATTAAGCACAAAGCTACACAAAGGGCTATTTATGCTCTGCCCACCACGGGTATCGAAACCCGGATCCTAGCGTTTTAAGTCAGCAGACATACCGCTGTGCCACTGGGGGACATATTAATAAACGTTAAATTTTACAAAATTAACATCGAAGTTAAAATTTTCATTTTAATACGAAGTACTCAGTTAAAAAAAGCGGTTAGTACTGAATATTTCATCCCGAAATACTATATTATGATACACATTTTCAATAGATAAGCAACACAACTAAGAATACTTGTAAAATACTATGATGAAAGTTGTTTTGTGAGTTGATTTCCGAAATACTTCATTTATGAACTTACAGATTCATATCTTGTTCCATATCTCTACAGTATTAGCATAAGTTGGATACGTCTGTATGAAACCTTGTCACATGGTCACTTGTTTTAATGTGAAGTCCATTTTTGTAATAATCACGGAACAACGTTTCAATATGTATACCGTTATTAAATTACAGCTTTACACGGATGTTGTTAAACAGTTTGTACATCACTTAGACATAGGATGGACTTTAAAATATCCAAAGCTTTTAAAAAATAATTTTAATAAAATAATCTTCAACAACAAATCAGATACTTTTGAAATTTACCCTGCAAATTTCCGAAAATCCCCACGTGTTAAAAGTTATTTTGAAACACCAAATGTTGTTAAATTTATAATATAAAAATTGATACAATTGGCCTAATATTTTGGCCGATGTATCTGACAGGTTGATAATGTTTAACTTGGTGAATCGAAGTAGAATCAGTATGATTTGATTCATTTCAAATAAATCTCCTGTTCGTTCTGCTGATTTTTTTAAATTTTTAACAGCTGATTCTTGTACCGTGTTATTAAATTGCAAAATCCAAATATTATTTTCTTTATTAACAAAACAAGAGCAGTAATATTTGATTGTTGTTATGTTTTTTTTAACTATCTAACGCCATGAGCTCCCTAGTCAATGGCAAAAACAACCATTTTATAAAGTGATAGACTGAAAATCGATCTACTTAATAAAAATTGTATACAAGTCACAAGAAGTCGCCGTCTATCAGTCGAACTGAAGTTTAATTGTTAATTATGTCCGGTACGAAAATGAGAACCACGGAGTGGGTGTGGAGGAGAAGGTGTGTCTCAGATAAACATTGTTTTCCACATAAAATTAAACAGAACCTCGCCAGGGGGCAGTTACATAAACGAAATGGTTGCATTTTCTGCTTACAAGAAATAGGATAAGAAAAGCTGTCTGAGCTTTATAACAATTGACCAGGAAAAGACCCCAACCTCCGCCCGAAGCAAGTTTTTTGGAAACTTTTACTTTCTGTACAATAACACAGAAGTTCGTTAGCTGAAATTAATTGGGCTAACAAGTGCCCTACAATGTTAGGTTGGTTTTATTGTTTAAAACTCGAGTTGGCTGAAAGGTCAAATCGAAAAATAAAAATGCACTGCCCAGTGAAAGAGAAAGTAAAATGGGCCACAGTCAAAGCCATATAAAAGCAAGCTGTCATTTCACCTGCTCATAATAAATACAATTGTTACGTAGTTAACATCAGTATTGACTGCTATTTGGACGTCAGCAAATTTTACGCGAGCTTCATGATGTTTACCAAAGTAAGTATACGTTAAACAACTGTTGCAAAACCACTAACCCTAATATAAGCAGAAACTGCAGCTTAAACTATTTGGTATATGACGAATAGGCTGTATGGTTAACTACCTTAACCTTTAATAATACACATAACATCTTAAGAAAATATAGCAAGCATTGTTTCTTCAACTGTGGGTTATAACTCACTAGGGGGATGGAAGTCGCAAAGAGTTAAACGATATTAAAACAAGAACTGATTGTAAGTTGGAAATAACTTGTTTTTTTTGTGTTCACAGACGTAACAAACAAAACTGCTGTCCAAACACACTCATTCGTCTAATGAGCAGTTATATTGTTTTAATCAATGTTTAGTATTTCAGTGTCTGATGTTATATGTATATAGAATAATATAATTCAGATAGAAGCGAGAGAGGATTACGAATACATAGACCATTAAAAGAAGATCGTCATAAATAAAAGTTTGGGAAACCCAAAAGAATTTATAATATGCCTAACTATGTTACTTATTAGGGTCACTTGCTAGGGAAGTAAGACCTATCTGGTCTATAGAAATATCTATATTTGTTTCCCTGCATATCTTGCAGATAAACTTATGTTTCACAGGTTTAATGTGGCTGGCAAATAAGACTCTATAATTTATCTTAATAGTGACATGCCAAACTAAACTTCTCTAAATCTTTATAAAAAAAGTCAATGTAATAATTACTTTTTTCAGTGTTTACACAGGTGATGCATAATTTGGAAAAAAAGGTTTATCATATACCAAAACGGTTTAGTATATGATTATCATCGTTCATTAATTTGAATCTTCTACACTTACTTTACATGTTCTGTGCAGCGTACTTACGTCATTTGTATTTATTTACATCACAAATTTATGGAGAAATGAATAAATGGCGCATTTTGAAAGAGTTTGTACAGTTTCCAAATAAAATGCATTGAAGATTTAGTGTCGAATTACACATGATAGATGGGATATGTAATAACAACTGCCATCATTAATTCTAAAACAAACTGTTCATTTTCTATAAACATTTATAACTGGTCATGATTTTAATGTCAATTTCTTAAATTTTCAAAGAAATGTATTATAATACAGTTATCTATCCATTTGTTTGTGATATGCAGGTGGCCATTTTTGTTGTTGTCGTGGTAACTGTTTCTGCTGGTGTGCCTGTTCCTTACGGCTATCCAGCTGTACCCGCTTACAAGCATCCTCAGCCTCCTTATGTTCCAGAACCATACGTAAGTGATGTTGTTTCGATCTAATAATTTGTGTATAGGCAACTAAGAACCACTGAAGTAGGTTTTGGTTTATTCGTTCTTTAAATCTGAAATAGAACTTTCAAAAGGATTACAGTACGAGTTAATAGTAGATATGGAAAAACACTAACAAAAATATAAGTTTAATGACTTGTTACACTTTCGAAACTATTTGGATTACATGTACATGTGTTATTTTATCGTCGCCAGGAGGCTCCTGAACCCTACAGCTTTGGATACGAAACCACTGATGAACTTGGTAACCTTCAGTCTCGTCATGAAGAAGCTGACGGTACTGGTGTTGTGAGTGGATCTTATGGTTACACTGATGTTTACGGAATCCACCGCCAAGTGGAATACGTTGCCGACGCCAATGGTTACCGCGCTGTGGTGAAAACCAACGAACCCGGTACCGCCAACGCCAGCCCTGCCAACGTGGAAGTTCTTGCCGAAGAAGCTCCTCTTCCTCACCCTACTGCTCCAAGCTACAAACACCCCCTGCCCCTACCACACCCAGCAGTTCCAGTTCCAAGCTACCAGCACCCCGTGCCCCTACCACACCCAGCAGTTCCAGTTCCAAGCTACAAACACACCGTGCCCCTACCACACCCAGCATTCAGCTACAAGCCTGCTCTCTATACTCATCCTGTCCCATACGCTCCTGTTGTCAAGGTTCCCATCCCTTCAACCACCACTACCACCGAGGCTCCTAAAGAAGAAAAGTAGTTCGAGTTACAACAGTAACTGAGAATATTGCCTAGAAGAAGGAGGTGTTATGATGTTAATGTGTTGTTATACTAAATTATTGAAATAAATATATATTTTCAAAAACATTTAATATATTGTTTTAAGCTACTGCAGTAAATCACAATGATATATTTGATAGACATTTTAAATATTATCGTGAAAGGTAGAATTTGGATTCAGTGTAAAAACAACATAGCATTGTTTGACACTCTGCGTATGTTTTATAGTTACTTTATTTAAATATAAAAATTATGAAGCATGTCCTACTAAAGAATGCAATCATTTGAGTTGACGTATAAAGCATCTGTGATTAATGTATACAATTGTGAGAAGACCTATCTTCAACGTAAGGATCAGTTCTAAAAACACAGAAATTTAAATTTTGACAGCAAAAATATTATTGACTCAATAAGAAATTTAAGAGATAAACCCGTCTAAGATTGAGTCTCGTATGCATAAACGGATATACAGAAACGCAGAAAATAATTTTATACTCTAGTCAGAAAAGTCGAAACTCCATTTTAAGCCTAAAAAATTCCATGCACTAAGTGCAAAGAGTTACAATAATCCTAAATTTTACCCTTTAGACTCCCAGACTTGAAATTTTTATTATATTTTTATATTTCGTAAAAGGTGGCGAGTTCTTAACCTTCTTCTTCCATTTCATTTGTATGTTTGTTTGTTGAATTTTATGCAAAGCTACTCGAGAGCTATCTGCGCTAGCCATCCCAGATTTTGAAGTGATAGACTAGAGAGAAGGCAAATAGTTAACACCACCCACCATCAACTCTTGGGTTACTCGTTACCAACGAATAGCGAGATTCATCGCCACATTGTATCGCCTCCATAGCTGAAAAGGGAAGGGTGTTCGAAATCGGGATTCCATCCTGCAAGTCTTGCGCTTTACCCACCAGGTTTATTTAGTTGTAGGAAAATATATAAAATCTAACTAAAAACATGTATATTTAAGAGAACATCAAGCAAATCACAAAAACAACACTTGCAGAACGTATTTATTTAAATAAAACATTTTACAAAATTATATTCGTAAAAAATGACATCTTCATAGAACACATACATTACAAAATACAAATAGTTTGCGACGAAAAACTAATTAGTATTTATTATAACTAAACCTATTAATTTTTAAAAACTTGAGCTGTGAACGCCCGCGAAAGATGTTTAGGAAAATATCTGGTAAACGATTAATACTATTACAGTTGATTATTTACCAACAGTTCCAGAACAAGAAGACTCATCTACGAGTATTTCTCAACTGACTATAATGCGTGAATATAAGTAAATGTTTTAATACTTTACACCGTATTATAACTTCATTTTATGTTATATTACTTTCCATTTTTTGTAGTTATAGCTTATTTATTTCTTATTCGGAGGCCTTTCCTTTTTCGTTTCATTTTTCTGTGTAGAAATATCACATGATAAACAAATATTATACTTAATCTAAAAAAAATCAGTAAGCTGACAAGAAGGGTTCACAACGAATCAACGTGTTGTTAAAATAACTGTAGTCTTAACTTATCGAACTTGTTAAGTGTTAATCATTGGACAAAGAACTGATAATGTACTAAACGTGCTCTATAAAAGTACGCCCTGTAGAATGGTGTTACAAGTTCGGTGTTTAAGGCTTGTCACCTGTTACGTAACCTGTTTAAAAAACGCTGAACGTTTTTCTTAAGATACTTTGGGAATAGAAGTAGCAGAAAAAGTATATGTTTTTTAAATTATGAAAGAAGACCATGTATGGCTCAAATCCTCACAGATAATCACATGTGAAATATGGTACAGTCACTTTTGCTCCTGAAATCAAAGACGACTATGTTCAACTTGTGTTCTTTATACCACTGAGTTTATCTTTCGAAGCCATTTAAAACTTTGGAAAATAACTGTACCACAGTGGGCTTCATTTTTTTATTTTTTGTTTGCTTGTTCACTATTAATCACAAAGCTGTGAGACTTACCACTAAGCCACAGGGGGGGGGGGCTATTTTTATTCACTAACTGAAAATACGATTATGGTGTTAACAGGATCTTTTGGGAACTCAATTTTTTCCATACTTTGGCGTTATTTTTTGTTTGTTTGTTTGCAATAAAGACTTATAAAGTCAACAGCAAAATGTAGGTTATGACAGTCTTATGCCAGTTTACAGATATGACGAGAACTTGGCTCAAGTCATGAACAACAGGGCCTAAATAAGAAGACATGTGGAAAATTTCATCTAATTCAATAAAACTGATGTTAATAATATCTGTATTAGATACCAGAACTATTAAACAAAACATTGGTACAGTTATACTCTCTTTTCGGGTTTAATTGCGTAATTATAAACTTCAAAAGAAAAGTATTTTAACTTTTCTAGGGGGGAATGTTAATTAAGTAAAGTTGTTTAATTCCAGATTGATGAGAGATCTCAAACAAGTGTTTATATGTGTATTTGAAGTTTTGGCTGTTGATACAGTGAGAACAAATATATGCTGACCCATGAATTAAAGTGTTCGAGTCTTAACTCTAATAATGAAAACATAACGTGTTATTCAGATAATAATATGTTAACATTTAAATTACGTTTTTATTAGATGTTGCGAAAATTATACAGATCTACTGATTTGAGTTTCAGTCGAGAGTAAAATGGGTTTAAGATTCATGGTTGAGTTGGTCCTTTGAAAATGGCATATTTTCGATCAAACAGCTCATATAGGAATGGTATCAACACAGTTTATGGGTGGGGTACGTCTCACGCACAGGCTGACTCCAGTACAATAAAACCTTATCACTGTTTAACCGGGTTAACGTGGCAGTGTACCAGAAGTTAAAAAACCATATCACGTAAATATTTTCACTGATTATATGTTCACTGTTTTTATTGAAACACGACATAAATATATAATACAAGAGGCATTTTATGATGAGCTTTAAATATTATATTGTGAATCACGATTTAAGATAACGCTACATATAATCAAAGTGTAACAGAAATTCTAACATGCTTTCAACATAGCAGACAACAAGAACTTACCATTGAACTGGAATTCAGAGTTGTTGATTACAATTTATGACGAACTTTAACTGTGCGATTAAAGAAAACATAATTTATATTAAATTATAGAGATACCGGTAACGAAAAAAAAATTTTTTCAATATTCTAGTGTTCAGCGTAGCTGGTGAAAGGCATCAGGAAGTAGCAGATATCACATATAGTTGGTAATGTACTGGTTATAGATCTTAAGTTTTCTCTAATTATGATGGACTTTTAATAACCTGAGTAAGTAGACACATTATTTTTTAAGTATAACACAGAAAAAAATATGACGAAAACCTAGAGACTTAATAATAGCTTCTTAACTCATGCTCTTTAAACCAAAACATAACAAGAAGTGAGAAATATAACTGAATACAGTATAGTGTACTTGATAATCCAGTGGAGTTTCGTTAGAAGCGGCTTTCTTTTCTTACGGAACAGACGAGACAGAAATGCTTTAATAGAAAGTTGTGTGTTGAAGAAAACAGTTATTGTTTTTCTTTTATTAAGTTAAGAACAATGCTAAGGTGATACGAAACATCTTAAGCTCAATTACAACTATCAAACTACTTGGGCTTGAAAATACAGTAATATCAGCTTTTGTGTCGCTGTTACCCAATACAAATCGTATCAGTTGTCAAACTAGACAATGACGTTTTGGCTATGCATTAAAATAGTTTTTCATTGATCGTTAAAGCTGTCCTCAGTCAATATTTAAAGCTTTTGATGGGTCACTATTCTCAGTCGAGCACTGGCTGTCACCGTAGTTTGGAAATGAACACGATTGTCATACACCAAGGGAAAAGCTTTAGTCCTTCTGGATACCATTTGAGCGTTTTAGACTTCTTATGAACTTGTATAAGTGTTATTCTGTATTTCAGGCTTTTTTAAGTCGTTAGAAATGCTATACTTTACTGTGATGAGCCTACTTGAGCACTGATGACATATACCCAATAGATTTATTACACAGTGGCTGGTCACTTTAGTAGGACATATGTAAACATGTAACAAAGTTATCTAATCCTTGCACATGAAAATAGACTAGTCACATGATATCTTGAGCCTTATTTTTATCGTGAGCAGATTGTACTGTCAGAACAGAACAAGTACGGTCAAGTACCTAATACGGTTTTATTTATACTTTTACGCTATACTACTACTATTGGAAAACGTATAATTTGATTAATCGAATCACCTCGTATATAAATCTCCACTCATACATTTCTTCAAAATTTGCGCTTTAAGCACCAATACAAACATGTTTTTCTGTATGCAGCTTAAATAAGTGGTTTTGAATTCATTGTTGGTTGCCATATAACATTTGTTTAACGTTCTTCTAATAATGGTATGGTTGAAAATGGCCGAATTCTGACCACTAGTGATAGAACCAGTCAATTAAAATACAGCCTATTGAACTTAACAAGCTTCTCAGACCATTCTTTTCAATCGGTCAATATTCGTTACCACTTTTCATAGTCTTTGATGACAGATGATTTTGAAAAACCGATTACATGAATGATAATTGATAAGACACTGGTGTTAGAAGAGTCCCAAACATTGTGTCCTCTTGGTAAGTCCTACAGACTCGTGTATTGCGGACAGTAGTGATATGAATGTATTTATACATTTCATCTTGAAAATGGCTTGTCTTGAGAGAAAATTATATTTTGAGTCAACTATCAAGGTCCCATTTATTTAACTGAAAATGTTTTGTTCGATAGTAGCCCCTCCTCCCAAGAGTATGTGAAGAAATATGCCCATAGCTGTTGGAAGAGGAATACATGTATAGTGGATTTTTGAATTTATCCCAAAGATTATCATTTGGATTAAAATTTGGTGTTTGTGTTGGCTAATAAAGATTCTTAATGTTACTTTCATGAATTTCGAAACGATTTTAAACAAAACTGTGGAAAGTTTTAATATAATCATAAAAGGAACCTTGTTATTAGTGTTAGAAATTAGGCAGAATTGACAATAACGTTCAGAAACACTGGATTTTATTCACTCTTCTAAAGACATAAAATGATTCATTTTTTATAAAAGATACAATTTATTTTACATAATTATTTAATATTTTTGTCAGTTCATGTTAATTTATCTTTTAATGTTTATTTATTTTCAAAATGCCTTCGGTGGCAAAGCGTTAAGCTAACACAAAAATTCCGGGTTCGATCACTGTTGTAAGCACAACGCAGTTAAATCATTGTATAGCTTTATACTTAACAAGAGACAAATAAACAACAGTACTTTTAAAATTTCATATATGCATTTCAGTCAAAATATTCTAACATTTCTTGATACTTGATATATTTAGGACAACTTTAATAAAGAACCTTACATGTTTTTTTATGGTTAATAAATCAGTTGATTCTGTATCATAAAGAATCTTCCAGTCAGTGCTAAATGTGAATTAAGCCGGATGTGAAACGTTTAGGAATGGCTGCAATTTATTTATCCACATGAGAAATAGAGAATGAAACGAGTCAAATGCCAGCAAATGAGATGAAATCGTGTTTTTGTTTATTTTTTCAAAGTAGAACAGTTCCATACTGTCCCAACACCGCTGCGGTTTATTTTATCTTTTTCTCAACAATTAGGGCGCTACTTATTCTGTTCATAATTTTTTTTAATTAGATGCGTTTAAATGTTTAGTGGTTGATATTTAAACAAAGCTTACCAGTACTCTCTTAAAAAAAAAAAATCTGAATAGAGCTTCGAACTCCTTGAGATACCTGGGATATGAACTGCCCACCAACATGGCTAAATTCACATTAGTTTCCATACCTGTACCCCAATCCTGAAAGCCAATATAAAATACGATAGTGGCCGCATTTGTTGGGCTATACATGATCTGGTTCCTATAAAGACGTATTCTCAACGGTTTTCGCAAACTCTGTCGATAGAGATGGCCGAGAATGGCTTAACGAACATGAACACTTATACCATTTGCTGCAAGAAGTACATAGTCTGGCCAACCCCCCTAAACTCCACACATTCGTGGCCGAAAACTATTGAGGGTTCTTTTTACAGTAAACTGTAGGTTTTGGAGTTAACAAATCGTGTCCTTTATCAGAATATATTTTTTAGGGTTCTAACTAGAATAACGGAAACCGTGACAACTCATTGACTTGCAGACAGGGTGGTAAACTCAAATCTGATAGTTAGTTTTTATTTGACTTTGAATCAAGATGATTTAGTTATACATCCCTTTCTAACCCCCCCCCAAAAAAAAACTGATGATCAGCAATAACCTGAGTGCTTATAACGCTAAAAATTGGGTTTCGATACCCATAGTGGGCACAGCACAGATAGCCCATTGTGTAGCTTTGTTTTAATAACAACAAACAAACTAACTAAACAAATATACTTTTTTTCTTTTTAGTAGTATTTTTCGATGAGTCACCGGTAATTTTACGGATTACAAGCCAGGTTTGATTTTGGCAGTGGACAGAGTGCAGATAGTCTATTGTGCAGTTTTGTATTAAAAACCAACCATCCAAACGTTTTGATTAGTTGACGCAGTTTTAATACAATAAAGTAACTGTTTAAACTAGAACTGTCGCTTTGTGTTCAACGTTCAGTTTTCACTCGGAGCCCCCCCCCCCAATGGCAAAGCGATATGTCTACGGACTTATTACCTCTAGAAACCGGGTTTCGATACCCGTGGTGGGCAGAGCACATACAGCCCTTTGTATAGCTTTGTGCTTAATAACAGAAAAAAAAACTCACTCAGAGGTTTTAAGAATTCCCTGGGAGATAAACATTATTTCATGACGACACTTGTAAATAGTCAGTTCTCAGTGGCGTTGCGAAGTTCCTGTATTTGGTTGAAGGAGGGTAAATGACTGAATCTTCCCGACAAAATGGGCGTTGCCAAGGTGTAGATAGTGATCCGATCGTATTGTGTTTCGCTTTTTTTGCTTTATTTGCATAGCATATTCAAATGAACCAATTAGAAGTTTGATCACCTTTTGCCGAATATATGCCAAATTTTTCTCGGCATTTTCGTTCTTTGCCTAAAAATTTGTCACAACAAAAAATTATTTAGAAAATTGGATTTGTGCTGACAAATAGAATATGGGGATGGGGACAACACCCCCACACCCTCCTTTGCTAAATCCTTGTCAGTTCTGTATGCTTCTGGAGAAAATATGCGATATTATTCGTATAATTCCCAGAGGTTTCTGTGTTAGACCTAGACTTTTGTAACAATAGTAAACGTTATCCTATATAGGATCGGAATTGTTACGCCTTAGGTGGTACTTTTTATTTACGTAATCCCACCCTCTGTTAAAATTTAGTGTTTCAAAATAACGTGGGTCACTCGAAAGTAAATTTCTTGTGGCAGTCAAAAACTTTGACCAAAGAGATGTATTTCTACTCACTGTGTTCCCTTAATTATCGGTAGATAACAGGGCTAGCCTATTACACTGAAAGTAAAAGTAGTTTAAAATGTGAATCTGGGTTACGAGGTGCTATAAAACAAAGGTAAACACACCTGAAAAAGTCAATGGTTTGAGCACTAACACATGGTCTGTGTCCGAGTTTTAAATATTGAATTTTGAGCTCCGAAAGAAACACAATAGAAGCGAAAATATGCTGGTAAAGATAAGTTTTGACCATTTCAAAAAATAAGTTGTTTTTTTTCATGCAGAACAACTGAAGGATGATAATAGGAAGTTTTTTGTAGAATTTATAAATGGGATTTATTGGCTGGCAGCATTGTTAGACGTCTCAAACGTCGACTCAATGAATCGAAATTAAATGGAATCAGAATCCATTAAACTCGCAGACAAATGAAAATGTCGTTCATTTCTATCAAATTTATTATAACACTAATTATCGAAACAGAGTTCTGTGTCTAGCGGAGAAACACGTAAGCGCTTAATTTAATTCTAATAGTGAAATATATCGAATTAGTGTTTAAGTAATTAACATAAGTCTCGTTTGTTTGTTGTTGTTTTTACGATAGATTGTTCTCTTCATTTCGATGGCTGTCGTTGTTGTCGTAGCCGTTCCTGTCCAATATGGTAACACTCAGCTAACAAGTAGGAGTTACGCTGCCCATGAAACATACGTAAGTAACTTATAACACATAAATAAGACTGGTATACGACTAGCAATCATGTTAATAGTTGTTTGGGAGCAAATGTATGTGCTGGTAGAGTTGTATTTTATTAATGAATTCGCATTCTCTTGATTATAAAACAATATTGTTCATCCGTGATCATCCGAAGCTTTTCAACCATCAAAATTAAGCGGATTTTGAGCAAGAACAATTAGGGACTAGTGACATAGATTTTAGTAATTGTGATTTGATTAATTTCAAAAACTAATGTAATGCGTATAATATATACATATACACTATTTTATTTGTGCCACAAAAACACAATATTTCACACAGAAATATTACCGAAAATTTTACCACAAAATGTTTTAAAACTTCTCTTCATAAATACCGAGAGTAATTGTTTATTTCCGTGATTATTTCTCAATCATATCATAAATTATTTGCCTAATAACTCAGTATAAGATACACAGATTAAAACAGTTTGATTCTGGGCCCCCAGTGGCACAGCGGTATGTCTGCGGACTTACAACGATAGAATCCGGGTTTCGATACCCGTGGTGGGCAGAGCACAGATAGCCCATTGTGTAACTTTGTGCTTAATTACAAATAAACAATAAATTAACGATATATTCTGAAAAATTGTATCCTGTCGGCTAAGGTTAAGACTTTTTAAACATTTCTATTAAAATACGTTATTATGTCGGCTCCAATTAAGACAACCTGTTTGAAAATTTAAAGATATTATCATGTCGGTTCGGATTAAGATCACCGCCTAACTGATTCTATCACTTAATAATAGTGTCCTGAACATTTAGTTAATGATCTTGTTTTCCTGTTTATTGCTTTCAAAATTTAGTAATCCTTTTTATTAATAATTTTACCAGACAATCTGAAGTAAGATATTTGTTTTCTTTTACCTCTTTTTTTTAAATATCATCCTTAACCCATTTACTATCATAAACATTAACGCCCCTATATCCCTCATCCATCTCTAACCCTTGACCATTTTGGGAAACTTAAGCAACTACAGACCTACCGCCTGATTAGTAGTGTGTTAAAATTTCCTTATTAAGTTAGGCCCTGACTAAGACTTTAAAAGTAGACAGTTATTTGTTTCATGTTGTAGTTATTCGAAAACATCTAATTTTAACATATTTATTGTTAGTTATTTTTGATTGCACTAAAACAATCTAATATAAAGTATTGACCTAAACTTACTCGAATCTTATAGTAGAACAACACTAATATTTTTACAGAATCCAGTTCAGCTCTATAGTTATGGTTACCGGATTAAAGATGAGTATGATACTATTCAATTCCGCAAGGAGGAAACGGAAGGAAGCGATGTTATTAAAGGATCTTATGGATACACAGATGTTGCTGGTTTGTACCGAAAGGTAGAGTATATTGCTGATGCTCGTGGTTTTCGTGCTTTAATTAAAACCAATGAACCTGGTACAACAAACCAGAATTCAGCTGACGTTGAGATTATCAGTGAACAGGGACCACAGTTGCACCAAACACTTACAGAGGAATACAGTGCCCGAAATGAAATAGAACGTCCAATTTACAGCCACAAACCCGAACCAAATTATTACCAGCCAGCTTATAATTCGGTGGCGAAAAGAGTGTCTATCCAAAGCTCCGCCTCAAACGCACCACGCTATGCATCCGTGTACAGCGCTCCAGCACTGTCTTCAACATCGACTGATAAAAAAGAAGATAGACTTGAAAAACTCGAAGAATAATATTCTGCGTTACATAATTTAAAAAAGTGACTTTTCTATTTATCGATCTTTCGACTGGTGGCGCAATAACATTTAAGCGATCACAGCAGAATCCCAATACTTTTAATAAATAATTTGCATATTGCATTAGGATATACAAAATAACAACATATACGCACGTATTTATGGTTAGAAATGCTGAATAAAACAAAATAAATTAATAGTATAATATGTTTACATGTAAGTTTTAGAAATAAGTCAATTTTAGCAGTATCTTTAAAAAATTAATCAAAGTTTCGAATATTCGCGCATAGCTACATAAGGACTACCTGAGCTAGTTATATATAACTCTGGATTGATAGGCTAGAGAGAAGGCACCAAGTTAACAGTACCCACAGCCGACTCTCCAACACTTAGACTAATCTAACTGAATAGAGGAATTTGGCTGTCACTCTTATAATGCACCTCCGGCCCTAAAGTGAGGAGCGGGAGTTTGCGGCAATCGAACGAGAACCGTGGACCCTCACTTTCAAAGTTCGGTGCACTGTATTTTGGGTTCAAGATTGCCGCCTCATTGCCCGAAAAATAGTGTGCTTGAAGTATGACGGTTAACTTCCCCACATACACATACACTCACTATTCGGCAAGACAAAGAGTAGGCGGTAGGTGCTGTTGATTAGCTACCTTCCCTTTACTTCAGAATTAGGGATGGCTAAGTACAGATAGTCAATGTGTATATTTGCGCGAAAAGTCTCAACAAACAGTTTGCTTGGAAATACAAGAGTATTTACGTTGGTAAATTATCTTTGGTTTGTTCTTATATTCGCGCAAAGCTACACGAGGGCTATCTGCGCTAGCCGTCCCTAATTAGCAGTGAAATACTGGAGGGAAGGTAACTATTCATCTCCACCCACCGCCAACTCAGGGGCTACTCTTTTTACCTACGAATAGTGGGATTGGCCGTCACATTATAACGCCTCCGCGGCTGAAAGGGCGAGCATGTGTGGTGGGACGGGGATTCGAACCCGCGACCCTCAGATTGCTAGTCGAACGCCCTAACCACCTGGCCCTAATCACCTAACATTAGTTTTGAAAATACTTTTGAAAGTTCAAATATCTGGGTATAGGTATTTTATTGATTATTTAATGGACAAGACATGCGATAACTAAGGAGATTTATTGCACATAACTTGGGTACAACTTGGGACTTTCTTCGTTTAGCACGTGACGTGTCTTGTATGTTTGCCTGATTATTTGTATACAAGAAATGTGGCTTGCTAATGAAGATACAATATTTTTACTTTACTTTTCACTACCTAATATAATGGAAGAGTCTCTTTTGTTGTGTTACGAATTTAATTTTCTTTGTATCACTTTATTTTGTTCTCAAAATAAACATATTCTAAATTAGTGTATTTAACTATACGTGTCTTCTTGTCTTGGATAATTAAACAAAAACGCATGAATAAGGCAAGTTTACAAGCAATTTTACATGTTATTCTTTCCAGTGATGCTAATCTGCCTTTAAAAGAATAGTTTGTAAGTTAATTCAATAATGTAACAACATCTATAAACCTATATTTCATCCATATTACTTACCCATTAATTAACCTGTAGATTTAATCATTTACTTTTCAATCCGCAATTGAATCAATACATTCTCTAAAAGTGTTTTAGTCTATTGCGATTCTTATATGTTTCCTTGGCATTGTATATTCATTCTTGTTTTTTATATATTTATATAAATACAGTATTGGTTCAACCTGTAATTGAATAACTAACGAGTATTTTCTTTCGTTTCGCCTCCTGATGACTCAGTTGTAAGTCAGTGGACTTATAATGCTAAAATTGGGTTTCGATCCCCGCAGAGAGCAGATCATTGTGTAGTTTTGTGCCTTAGAAAAAACAAACGAATTTTTTGTGTTGCTTTTTCGGCTCCTTTTGAGAAAAACATAAATACCCGTTTAACTACATTCAATAAATTAATTAATTCAAAGGTTTTCTGTTAAATCTAAACTAATTTTAGTAAAAAGTAGACATTACTATATATGTGTGTGTATATTGTTTTCTTCAAATATTTAAACAACATTTTAAAAGTGTAAATTTCTGTTTAGTTTTTGTTTATTAGCAGCATCAAACTTTTTAGCTGCTTTAATCATTAAAAACAAATTATAAACAAAAATATCTATACTCCATTTATGGTTTCAATGCAAAACACCAACAACAAAAGAAAAGTACAGTAATTCACCTGAATCTTCTACTTGTTTGGTGCAATAGATTGAAGACGACGTTTCGACCTGGTAACGCGAGTCTCCATTACGTCCCTATGATCCTAAGTTCGTCTCCAAACATTTGCTTGGGAGATGTTTGAAAATAAAACCGAACAAAAAATTACACAAGGTATATGTTTTGATGTTGTTAGATATCGTTTGACATTAATCATCACACCACACTTTAAAAATAATAGTGTTAATACAGTCAGGGTTTATACAAAGTTATTTCGTTTGCATTTTTATCCATTTAGGGGCGCTGATTGCTCCTGTGGTAGAACACTGGATTTCAGAGATGGCTAGCCTGTTCAAGTCCACACTTTAAGTTGCGGGTACCATTATAAGCGTAACAATCAATTCCTTAGCGTTGATTGTGGATGTTAGGGTGCTGCTGATTGATTGCCTTCCCTCTGTTCAATAGTTCAAATTAAGTAGCTTTGTCATAAATACCAAATTCAAATTATTCACTTATGTTGTAAGCTAATATTTATTAAGTGGGTGAATAAACTAAGAACGAGATGTAATTCTAAGATATTTTTTACAACTTTTTGTAAGAAGACTACAGTTAGCACAGTTATAGTCTACTGACCCTACAAATAGTTATGATCCAACACAATACTGTTACGTCTCTGTTCGTTAGTTAATTTTCCGTAAATTCGTTCCGACGAAACTTTAGCGACACAAGTTCTTTCTTAAATAAAGCTGGTTTATTCTTTGTGAATACAACTTTACGATACACTTAATTTCAACAGTCGCTCAGTAACAAACGCTATAATTCTCAACGAACTTCTCACGTGCTCAACTTCAACAATACTCTCTGACTGCAGTTCAATTACTCATTACACTGTTGTTCCGTCACGTTGTGAACGTCTTATATATATATATACAAGACTAACACATATCTAGTAAATGCTAGGGCATTCTTGAAGGAACAGGATATTTCTAGAAACAGGTGGCGTGATACTAGTCACGTGACCTCGCTGACGCAACAATACTATTACGATTGAACGTAATTTAAAAACAACAGTTCTCACGGGCTATTTTTTCTACAAGTAGTTATGATTAAAACGTAATTAATTACTAATATAAAAAAGTTGTGACTAAAATATACTAATCTATTGATTAGATTGAAGTAATCGTGAATTTCACCCTTACTTAACTTGTTTAGAATAAATCTCTAGTCAGATATGTTTTCATGCAGGTGTTCTACATGTAGTATGACTTTCTTGTTAACCGAATTTCGAACGGTTGTAAACATATACTAATCGTTTCACTCGTGTACAAAGTTTGCAGTACGCCAAAGGCTAAAAACTCATATCATTTTGATAGTGTGTCTGAACCTTCTGGAGATAGGCGAGCTCATCTCAAGGGGTGTGTCAGAGTCGTGTGCGATTTAGAATGAGTCAGAGGTTTTTCTTCCCTATAAATATTAATAGGAATAGCCACTGATTTATGCAGCGCTCTAACTTTTGGTCTGAAGCTCAACGGAAAATGAAAATCCTATGTGATTGTGTGTGGAAAGACTCCTCTCAACCCCAGTACCTAGCTAATTAAAGCCGTAACAAATTTAGAGGCCTTCCAATAGGTTGTTGTTGTTGTTTGTGATTAAGTACAAAGCTACACAAAGGGCTATCTGTGTTCTGCCCACCATTGCATTGAAACCCGGTTTCTAGCGGTATAATTCTGCAGACATACCGTCCGGTAGGTGAGCTATATTTGACGACACAGTTATTTTGAATAAAGTATTAATATTCACCAAAGCAAGGTTCTCCTGAGGATGACGTTGTAACGTCGAAACATATGGAGTCGTAAACTTTTTGAAGGCCATACACAGGCCTAAATAAAATGTTTTAAATTGTGTACCAGTTTAA